GCAAAGACTGATCTCCTCCGCGTACTATTCTGTTGTATCGTTTGATTTCTTTGACAATGGGAGAATTAGAGATGGCAAATTGGGGGAGTATCAATAATGACGCCCGCGAATGCGATTTTGTACATCATTCATATGCGATAGATATTTAAGATTTCGAAAAACGATTCAAAGCGAACGGAGACAGTCTATCCTCTCGACTAATCGAGCCGAAAATTGCAACTTAACGGATTGGACACATCTGAATGCCCAGCAACATCAATCACTAAAAAGGCATGACTATATACGCATTCAATTCTTGCAAATTGGGTATCAAAATAATAAGTGCATTAAAAAGACGTTTTGGAACTATCTTCACAAGTTATTTGAATGTTCGATAGACAAACATAAATCATTCGTATTTTCCAATTGGTATCTAAATATGTTTGAAATGTCCATCTGCTGGTCAGTATTCATGCCATATTCCCAAAATGACCACACATATAGTATATTTCAAATATCTTATGACATCGTGACAAACTAAATACAACATCATCATCATATAATCAACCCCCTACTCGTGTACTGTGAAGATCGCGTGGTGTTGGATTGGAACTTGGCACGCTTACGTTGCTTGACACAGGGACGTACTGTCCGTATTTATTTTGCTACCCCCTCTGAGCAAATAAACGGGGCTCAACGTAGTGATTAGCGACGTTCGTAAACTATATTAATTAGGATGCCACATAAATTCACTGATTCCCGCATGGATTCTCCTTCAGAATTTTAATAAGTTGCCCGCCTTCAGATAATTAATGAATTAACCAAGAAAACAATATGCAACCCCGGGTAATTAATTTACTATATAATAAAGACGTGATAGATAGTAACTAAGCGTATTTATTTACACTGCACTCCGCAAACTGATTTAGCTATCGTATTGGGAGGGGTCGGTGAGATACTGGTATGTCAAATAACGCCAACTAGTCGATGTGATCACACAACTTGTGAATAATGAGTACCAATCGCTCGTAAAACAAATGTCACGAGCACACACATGGTGCTGGTGAATGGGGGAGGGTCTCGTTCATTTAATAAATTTGTACCATGGTCAAATGACCAGCGGGGTAGGATTTTTCTAGGAATCGGGGAGTGGAGCTGTTTGCACGTGCGCTAATTCCAGCCCACAGCCACAGCGTAATGCAAGTATAATCCGTATTTTAATCTCACACTCTAGCATGATTAAAAAGCCCGTGGGTACACTTTTCAGAGCCGGTCCGTGAATTGTCCCATCACTTGTGAAGACCGTGTGAATGAGTTCGTGTTTGTTATTGTCCATCTAATTGCACGCTATTGTTGTTTTCACAGTTAGTTATTGATCACGGTGTGGACAAGCTAAATGTCACCCATTGTTCGAGCCGTCAATAAAAACGTTGTCGTCCCCTTTCACTCTCGTGTTTAGATGACTTACGCTCGGTCAACTCTTCACATTATCGACAACGCGCGGTTTTCGCTTAATTATCGACATACGCTATACATTATGCGATTGTTAACTGGGAAAACAACCTCGTTTATAAAGTGTTAACAAGCGCCAATGAATTTGAATATGCTAAAAGGAAGCTTCGTGTTAAATAGCCGACAGTATTTTGACAAGGGGGAGGTGACACCATAGAGGTTTTTCCTCCCGAACCATCTGTAATATAAACAATGTTGGCATTACTCAAGTGGCCATTGCATGTTGTTGAAGAAGGCACAATTATGCGCCACTGATTCTTCACACGTCGAAGAATGCTGCCTAAAACGGATGAGAAAAGAAGCACACCTGGCGCATTTAGTGGACAGGCTATTTAGGCATCTTTACAGGATATCACAATGCCAAATATTTTTCATTATGTTGAAATTTACTTGTCTGAAATGACTTTTCTTCTGTTCGGATGGGAGAGGTAGCTGACATTGACAGGGGCATAATCGCGATGCAAACGAGGATGCTTTCGCCACATATCGGGAATGCTAGCCGAACTCGCTTGCTTAGATTTGAATTTGCCCGTGGTGTTTTCACACCACATTATGCGAGACTTATCTTTATTATGCTCGTATGTCTACCTGGCATTGACCACTCGTGGTATTAGCTTGAAACATGCCCTCAGCTACGGATGAGCCACATACAATGTCTTCCGCTGTTTTAAAAAAAAAATAACATTACAGACATATACAAGGGTCAATTGCATAGAAAGCATTTTACCGTGTACGTTTGTCAAGATCAGTGTCAGCGCCGCAAAACATTTGTTCAAATGTCCCAATCACATTGCAGGAAATGTGTTAAGGTTTATTTACCTAGGAACTCCGTTCAAGGGCCATAATGCAAAGTACGTGATTACCACACACAGGTGACAAATTACTGTTACATAAACAGCCACTGGCATGTCACTTTCAGGTTTATTAAGCCATGTGAGTGAAATGTTTGCACCGACTTTGAAAAGAAAGAATGTGTTTATAGGACGACTGACCGTTTCCACAATACGAGATATAAGACCTACTTCTATAAAATGGTGGAACAACTCGCCAAATCGCCTCCGTCAGATTGGTGTTGGCGAATGGCATTGGATTTGTACATGTACTTTGAATGAGTCGGTAGAGGTTATTATAATTAAAAAAAAAACACAGTTATGCTAGAAATGCTATATAAAGTGTTTTGTCCCATCACATTGCGCTATCTTTTGTCTCTTAACTTGGAGGACATTTTTTGTCTCCGAGGGTCACACGCGCCTTTTTGTTTCCTTTTATTTTTGCAATCATTTTTTTATTTAGATTTTGTCTCAGCGTCGGTTCCACAGATAACTTAGTTCATTCATTATTAGCCGACATCACAGTTATCTCATACAACCACATAGATGAGAGTTGGTAAGTTCCTATTTCATAAATCTCAACCAGCCACATAAATTACGTGCAGAGTGAAACTGGCGGTGTTTGCTATTCGATTTTCGCAGACACTAAAAGTGATGCGTTGGCGGAAGCTGACATCGATATCTAACTTGATACACAGCGTACAAACACTACTTACAAGCTTGCAAACAAATTTACAACGATTAATTTAGAAATAAAGTCATTGATTTTTAGTCCAATGGAAGAAAAATCATTACCATAACACAGGGAGCTAAACTCATCGCTCTCACTCTTAATGCATTGTGACAAAAAATAAAAATCAATACCGACTACTCGGGATGAATACGTTTAATTCATTTTAATCTGTTATTTCGCTTATAATTCTCACACCAGATACTGATTCTTTCTGTCGTTATTTTCTGTAAATAATACATGACCTCTGCACATGGTGAAACACGATTCATTTGTGGGACATTCATCGTATGTGCTTCCGTCCATTATTGTCAACGACAGTAAGAATATTTAATGTGATCATTTGCATAAATTGGCATCAGCGCATTTCAGGTTCACCCGCGAATCTCGCCATCAAAGTTTGGCACCGTTGTCCCTGCAAGTATTTGAAGTATGATCGGTGTTTGATGATAAAGTAGATAGATGTAGTCCATACACAGACACGACCCAAAAGATCTGGTCGACTAAGGTTTCCTTACTAATAATAATAAAAAAAAAGGTCACAAAAATGACGCGAATGTGACATTTAACGAATAGCGTTCAGTATACATGTGAATACAAGGAAAGAAAATTCTTATTACAGAAAACATTCAGTGGCACATATTACAAACTCCCCAGTTGTTTCCTTATAAAGGCATGATTATGTTATGGTTTGCGTTGTATCGTAGCTTGTCTTTTTCTTTTTTTCTGCGATAATACAGTACATTATCAACTGTCTTGTAATAGTTTATCCCTGCGCCCCAGACATCTGGATTGCGGTGCACCGTCATATTCCACAAGTACCTGAAATTGGTCACGGTCGTGGTGGACGACAATGACGCGAACTAGTTTGCCGAACTACGGTTTGAATGACACGATAAACCTTCGGTGGGCGTTGTGTCACCGATGCTTTTCAGCCAATTACACCTACAGTTTGGGTTTTCAGATGTTGCCTTTATAAAGATTGAAACTTCTTGGGTTTATGCATCAGGTTTACTTACTTAAGGAAAGTTATACATGCCGCCCAATTTGGTTACTTTTCGCAGAATTTTCCCTAGACATGGGTCAGATTTTGAAAAATTAAAAAATAAAATATTTTTTGGTTTGCGTTATAACTTTTGAGCGGAAACTGTCATTTTCCCTTCCCAAATTAGCGTTTTTCTTTCATTTTCAGACCAAAGTTTCGCTAGAACAGGATCGTTTTTTTTATAGTTTGGATGGCTTACTTATAGTCAATTTGTGTCGAATACCTCCGATCCGGGGAGGGGAAGGGCGGGAATACACTGTAACACAACACGAAGCCGACGGTTTTCAATAGTGAGTTGTTCGAAGGAAAATGTACTCGCCATTTGGGGGGGGGGGTGAACATTATATTTATTTTCATTGCAGAAAACTTATACGATTTTTCAATATAAAACGTGTACACACTAACACCGTATAAAAGGTTTCCCACTTGAAAACGGTGGTGGAAGGAGAGGGGTGGGGTGGGGTGATTGGTCTGTCAAAGATGACTACAAAATGTAATAGAAATTTCGAAAATGTTATTTATAATTGTAATCAGGTATATGAGGACCTCAGGGACTGTGGATAAACCCTCTCTTTCTGAGAATCCTTTTCTCTGTTCACAGTTACCATGGAGGTAGAAAAGACCTCCATGCAGTTACCAACTGTAGACGAACAAGCAAGCACCGTCGACTGTCGTTTAATCGAAGCTGGGAGCTGTAATGTATTAATACAGCTCCCTGATCGAAGCAAACATATTAACAACGTCCACAGTAATACAAATCGCACTAAAACAGATTCATGTTCAGTCTAAAATACCATGGAGGTACCTCCATGAAAATACCAAGCCGGCGATGCCGAAGTGCGGATTTATTCAAAAGGTCACGAATCAGTGTCATCAGTCAAAGTTTGCACGGGCTGAACAACTTCCTGAACATGCGCACTGAACAAAAAGTCGCCATTTTGAATCTCAATAATGGCAGAAGATGAATTCAGCGAAGCTGGGATAAGGGACTTCCTGGTACAAAATGGGGGTAAAACGAAAAATGAACACCTCGTTAAAAGATTCAAGATATATTTCAATGATGCAGATAACAAAGGTAAGACTTGCGTGTCTGTGTGTGATTTGCGGTGGACACCGATGCTCAATCAGCCGTTCGTTCAGTTTCATTTGATAACATCAATAATAAAAGGCGATATTATAATATTGTGTCGACTGCACCATGGTACACGGCATCTACCACTACCCTCGACCAATAATGGACTACAAACAGTATCATGTGCAGATGTTTTTAGCCGGGTTGTGGTGTTGGTTGGTGAGAGACGGGGGGGGGGGGGGGGCGTCTGACGTCACGATATAGAGTTATTGGGAATATGGGTATATAGTTCGTGTTGAATAGCTTGTTTCTAATAAAATTTTAAACACTCAACCGGTGTTGGTGTAGTTTGAGAGTGTGGAATAGTCCTGTCATAAAAATGCCATTTTATAATTGCACAAGACACAAGTGGAATACCTTAAAATTATACAGTTTTGGGTGAGAGTTTAGTTAGTACATCCATGCTTTGAGGAAAAGTTTAGGGGTTTCGCTTAAGTTTCAGCATGGTTTGGGGTTTGAAACATTGTTATTACCACAGACAATTGACCTTATAATACTTAAAACAATTCACATGTAGTGGCTACTCGCAACAAACATTTTGGAGATGTGTACCAAACCGGCCAGCTTATAACTTTAGTTCCACAATGAATTTGTTTTCGTCGGGGAAACAGTACGACAATGATAGAATAATTGATGCCATAGTGGCCAATGTCTGAGACAGAATAAGCAAACGAAATCCTCCAGAATGTTTCAACAAATCATTAATGTCAGACAAATATAAATTTATCAACACTTAGAGAACCATACAAGCCAAGAAATTGATCGTACCTCTGTCTGAGTGGTGTATTACACGAACTTAGAGCAATGTTGTCAAGGCCAGTGGTAGATTGATGCTCGCCTGAATGTGTCAGATAAGCAAGGAACTTTAGTAAATTAAATAATTAATTGGTAAATGTTGATTGCATAACTAAATTTTAATCAATGAAGCATTTTCAGTTTTTTTGTTTATTATAGTCGTATTATAATCCCTGAATGACCTCTCACGGAAGTGGTTACTTGCACAATATACAACATGCAACATCTTCAACTTCGTCAGCATTTATTCTAATCATGGTAACGCATTGGTGAATTGTCTGCGGTATTAAAATAATAATTATTCACCAGGATAATATTCAAAATTGTGACGTTAAACCAAACTCTGCATACATCATCTACACTATTTAAAGTTTGTTTAACTATTACGCTATGTGAACCCATACCCCTACTCCTCCTTATCTCTAAATTTTACTGCAAGAACTATTACAATTGTATCCTGTGCAATGGTTTGTTTGCCATCATAACTACGATTCTTGTTTTTTTGAGTTGAATTTACCATAATATTAAATTCTTAGTGCTCTCTGCATCCAAGGCCTACCTTACTACCGGTACATAGGATAGACTCATGCTCTGTCACTCACTTGCTATTGCTTTGAATTCTGATCTGGATATATTGTGCAACAACTCGGTATGTGTTACAGTGCATGCAGTAAAACCAGTATTTCCCCGCCATAAATTTGTTACTTTTTTCAGTGCATGAGGTGAGTGAGCACACAGGCAACAGTTTTTATTGTCATCATCCAATAGTATGACAGTCACCCAGACCTGCATAATAAAACATGTTTAGTACTTTTTACTAGTAAACAGTTGACTATGGTATAAGGTATTAACCTGCCAACTAAGGTTTTTGTGTAACCCTTCTTGCATTTATTGCCACATTACACCATCTAATAATTGGTTCAATGTATGAGAAAAGGAATTGTTTATCAATATTCATATTGGAAATTTTAGATAAAAATTTTACTTCACGGTAATTTGTACATACAAAATTACCATCACTCTTGCATATGTCGGGGTATTCTTATTCTAATTGACTAAATGTTTCAGAGGATGTGTTAGATTTCTATTCAAGATTACAAATTAATACTGCAAGTGCAGATCATATCGTCATGATATAAATGAACGTGTGCGATCACATTGTCTGCCATTTACCATCCTGGAAATGGTTGACCATAGATTCTGAGTTTCCGGACTAACTAGTGAAAATACTTAAAAATTAAAAAGCATGAACATTTTGAATTTTTGTCAATTGAAAAATACAGTGAAAATAAAGAGAGAGAAGTAGGAGTACCCAAGATTGTTTTTTTCCTGAAAGCATTGACTTCATGGTATTCCCATAGTGTTATTTGCTAATATGTTGGTCATTTAAATATGGAAATTGATTAAGATACATGCAGTTGAGGGTTGATAATTCGGGACCCCCCGCCCCAAATTCTTCAGACTCTAAATTAACAAGTTACAGGGAATAACTTGACAACAACAAAAATTTGAAAAGTGTGTTATCTGCATTCATCACTAACATTGATATAAATTGGTAATCAACATCTGTCGTTGCATCTGAGTGTGTGACTTAGTATGCGCACTTCTAAATGAACCGACTTTCATCAACTTTACAAAAAAAAACAAAAAAACTTACATCTTTATCAATCCATTCTGCATCTCCATCAATTCATGGTCTCACCTTGTTCTTATCATATTTATCTACTGTAGAATACTTTATTTTCGCTTGGAATTTATTTTTGCTATTTTAGCTGAAGGGATGTTTCTGTGAAAATAAAATCCATCGAATATACTTTTTTTCCTATATTTCACATCAAACTCATCAAAAATCAGTGAAAATAAATTCCATTCAAAACACCCAAAAAGCTTTTTCAGCGAAAATTTATTCCAGTGAAAATAAAGTATTCCACAGTATTTTTACTCCAATATTCTAATATTAATATGTCAATAGTTAACAATTTTGATTTTACAGTTTTCTTTTATTCTGTTTATTATAGCCAAATTCAAGGAATATGTGAATGCTGTTGCATCTGTCAAAACGGAAGACGTAAGTTACTTTTAACGATACTGTAAACCACTTTAATCCTTTGACCGCCAAATTTTTTTCGGCTTAAATGTGGGAAAATATGTTCACTTTTTCTGTAATTTTCACTAAATTCAATCCCAATTATGAACCAAACAGACACAATTTTCTCAACATTTTATGTGGAAAAGTACAGACTATAAATGGAATGATTTTGTGCACGGTGCCTGAAGTTGACGTTGGCGCTCAAAAAGGTTAATATGATACGAGACAGTTTTTTTGAATTGTTTGACACAAGAATACGTACTTGATTGGAATGTTCCATGTACTTCAAACCTGCAAATGATCTACTTAAAAGTGGTTGCCGTGTTAATTTGTGGCTAGCCAATGTTTCATAAATGTCCCAACATTTATGCCAATAAACTTGAGTAATTGTTATTCAGCTACATCTCACTCTGATAACATTTATAGTTATTGTGTGAGTAGCATAAGGCAAGATTCAAGCATATTCCCTGTAGTTAAAATTGCACCATAGCAGAAATAACTGTTTCTGTTGAAAAGTTGATTGCAAAATGATGTGTTTCTCTTTTATGAACACATTGCTTTCTAATGAAGAACTTTCATTACAAGGTATCCTTGAGTAGGACTCTGGTAACAAGATTTGTGAATAATTAAAGAAAATCTGTCCCATCTGTGAACAGGAGAGTCGCACATTACTACTGTACACTGTTAGGTTCAAGAATGCTCTTATTCATACTTCTGTACCTGAAATGTGTGTGTATCATCCTAATGAATAAACTATCACACCTCCCTTATGTGTATACAATGTCAAAGCACTATTGGTGCTTACATTGTGTATCATATTTGTAACATGGATTTTACTATGTATTTTATTGTGGGCAAGGAATTATTTTGGTGATATACATCGAACACTAAGCGTTCTAACCTTATAATACCCCTTCACTTGTGACCAGTGACCCAAATGCACATTGTGCAGTAAGATTGTATAGATGTATATTCCTACCTGTATATTGTTCATTTTCCCCCCACAATTTCAGTTGCCATGTGTCTTTTTTGGCTTTGTAAATGGCATTACTAGATGTTTTCAGTAAATTATGTAGCTTACAACCACTACAAGTAGTCTCTGATTATATCGATATAGAGATGTTTTCATAAATAACTAAATTTCTGATCACTTTCTCCACTTTAATTTGTTGTATTCTGCTGTATTCTAGTGCTTCCTCAATTATTTTCTCCCAATTCTTCCTGTATTTTAATGCAATTATTTTGAGGTATGTGTTTCTTTTTGGGCCATGTACACATATAACAATGTTTTCTTTTATAATGTAAAAAAAAATAATTTAATTGATGAATGTTTTGGAGTATTTTTAATCGCTAGTTTATGAACTTACTAATTAAACTTACTTGCATAATTTTAGGTTGTTGCCATCATCATATGAAGATGGTCACACAGTCCTATCGCATATATTTCCCAAATAGGAATATAGTTTCTATGGAAAAATGTAACGTTCAGTCTGTACTTATTGTTGGCTATTGTAGTTTATACATACAATAAGGACGAAAAATATTAATTTTAATATATTTAGAAGCAAGATTTTAATTTATGAAAACAATTTTCGTAGTGTTGAATTCAGCCCAGTCAATATTAGGATGTACCGGTTAGTGATACCAGATTGTATGCACACAAGCAGTGAACATTTTACGTAGACAAAACAAATACCTATTGAATGCAGTTTGAGGGAGAATAATTGTCAACGGATACAAGAAAGATGATGCATCCATGTCCCTGCAACAGTTACATATGAAAATGCTATTTTCCTAAGCTTGTAGAAGTGATTTGTTTGTTTTCATTCTGTGTGTATCATTACATATAATTTCAGTTGAACCAAGTGATGAGTGTTTAGTACCAAAAATGGCCAGGTTACAAATGTACTTGTATTAAGGTAGAATTTGTTGATATTTCATTGACTTGATAATACAGTTGTGAGCCTCCTCCCAGTTCTATAATTTTAGATAAGATGTATGTATAAGTAACCAGTTAAACCATGCCCACATGTTTAACAGCAGGGTATTGCACTTTTTTTTTAATTTCTCTTAATCCATAGATCATTATTTAATAATTTTGTTTGCTATTTTTGTAGCAATTATCATGAAAACACTCCCATGTTTGCAAACCATTTGTATAAAATTTATGCATACAGAGTCTTGTTTTTTAGTGCAAAACATATGTGTAAAAAAAACACCACTAGCCTACCAGGCACTTCTTCTAGGCACCTCTAAGTACATGAAAATAATATTACTGGTAGTGGTTGTCCATACACAACCTGTTTATTTAGCAGAGATTCCTGGTATCTCAATTTTACTTAATTGTGACAGAAGCTCAGCATGTGTTTGTTTAGGCCCTGCAATATATGTGATTTAATTTTATTCTAGATTCCAAATTGCTGTTATTTATAACCGAACAATGAGCCTGATTTCTCTGTGTGTCCCTACTAGTTCCCTCCCCTGCAAGAGAATACAAAAATGGAAGGGGAAACCTTCAGGTTTGGGCATGTAGTTTTCCCACTTGCATCATTAACATTTCCAAGTAAAAAAAAAAAATACAACAAGTTGAGTTGTAATACCAGAATCAATTCAGTGTAATGTGCTTGGCACAGATGTATTGTTTTGTAAAACAAGAATATGTAAAAGTCACACCTTGTTCTCCAGATAATTAAGTCTTTATTCCGCCCATGCATGCACATAGAAACACTGGATAAAATAATTAAGCAGTCATACATAGGCCTACCAACTTAATTTCTAGGTGGGTGTTGTATGTCTGTATTCCTACTAAGGGATGTACCAGTGTGTATCTAGTCAGGGGGAGGAAAAAATAGCAAAATTAACAGACCACATGACTACCGATTTGTTATCTATAAAGCTGACTTTATAGCATTCTGAATAGATTGGATGCAACTGAAATTTGTTTCAACTGCTCACTTACCCACCTGTTGTAAAATAAATTCAGCCTGTCCTCAGTTTTTGATTAGCTGGCCTCAAACACAGACATTCATTATGCTCCCCTTTTTCCTCACGGTTGATTTCTTTCTATTTTGAATGACATGCATATGTATTATTGAGCTGAAGCTCTTTTTGTTTGTGTTTGTAACATGATATCCTGGACAAGATAGAGGTACTCAATTGTAACCAGCGCAATTGTTAAAATGTGTCCACAAGTGGTGTTATTTTACTAATACATAGCTTGTATGATAAGCTGATTTTGTCAAGCTGTACAGAAGCAGCTATATTAAAACTTAGTGAGGTTTTATTTGCAAGAGATACTGGTGGGGAATCACTTCATTAAAACTAAACGAGATGACTTGTTGTGTATTGAATTGCAGGATTTTCAATCCAACCTGTATTATGATGGCAAGCTGGCCACCAAATTATTTTGTCAAATGACAACTGTAAAAATCTGATTTCTTCTCATGGTTATTATTGTTCAGTACCTGGCATAATAACTGGTGATTTAATGTACCTCTTTATACTACCTTATAATTCATCTCTCTATTTATATGTCTTTTAATTTTCACTGCTAGAAATATTTGATAATTTTATGGCATTTGTGAAAAATAAAATTTCGCGAAAGTCACTGACCGCAGATGAATTTTCCCGTTAAAAAATTAGTCTCGCAAAGTTAAAGCAGTTTACACATTACAACCTTTCTTGTCAAATAAAAACAGCAACGTCATTGTTTTTTTTTTAAATTTTATTTTGTAGTCTGACTATAATATACTAGTCACAAATTGTCCGCACCAATTTACATGTGATTCGTTTTCTATATTTAGTTCAACCTTCCAAATTCTCTAAAGTAAATAAATAATCCCTATCCTACATATAAGTCAATATTAGGACAACAATTTTATTTTAGGGTAATGCATTATTTATCCATTAAACTAAAGTAAATTCCCAATAGATATAATATGATTTTGACCAATTTGAAAAAGTGTCATGTTCATCTTACAACACATATTATTCTAAATTATCAATGCATTTCACATGAGATTTTATTCAACTGATAGTTACTGTGTCACTTTAATTTACTCTATTTTTCTACCTGTGGCTGCGAAAAAATAATTTGTTTAATTACTGGAATTATGGATATGTACACATTTCAAATTTTGATGATTTTGGGGGTGGGAGATGGGGGTGTAATTAGTCCCCGTTCAGACGTAGTCCGAAAACGGGGACTTATGTTCTGCCCTGTGTGCGTGCGTGCGTGCGTCCGTCCGTCCGTGCGTCCGTCCGTGATCACCTGTATCTCGAACATGAATGGACCGATTAAGTTCAAACTTCACTCATACATCACACATTATATGGGACATATGCACATGCATTTTTTTCATGATCTGATTAACGATAGCTGAATAGCGGCCATTTTAAGGCCGAAAATGCCTCAAAATCGCACATTTTCACCATTCCGGACCCGGATCTCAGTTATGCATGGACGGATTTCGTTCAAATTTGGTACATACATTAAACATAATAGGACCTTGATGCACGTCATTTTTTTTTTCGAATCAAGTTCGAAATGGCCGATTGGCGGCCATTTTGTTTAAAAGAATTCAGTTCTGGATCCGTATCCGAGACATGTCTGGATTGATCAAGTTCAAACTTCACACACACGAGGTACATCATGTCACAAATATGTATGTGCATTTGTTTCATGATCTCATTAACGATAGCCGAATAGCGGCCATTTTAAGGCCGAAAATGCATCAAAATCGCACATTTTCACCATTCCGGACCCGGATCTCAGTTATGCATGGACGGATTTCGTTCAAATTTGGTACATACATTAAACATAATAGGACCTTGATGCACGTCATTTTTTTTTTCGGATCAAGTTCGAAATGGCCGACTGGCGGCCATTTTG